GGTACTTTATATATATATGGTACTTTTTAAAGTTTATATATAGATACATATATATAGATACATATATATATACACTTTTATGATTCCCTGCTGTAATTTTTTTAAATTCACCAACCAACTACAGTCAATAGTGTCAAATGAGAGGGCTTCTACTCAACTTACCCCCATTATCCTCACTAACCCTGGACAATGTCATCTATGCTGTTTGAAGTCCTCTTCTCTGTCTAGAGAATTCTAGTGAGTATCTAGAGGTAATGAAATTTATACTGAATAAAACTAAATTAGCATTCCTTCCACTTCATATCCATTTTCATAAGGCAAGAGCTGTTTATTGTAAAGTCACTTATATAATGAGAATACTCTGGACATTGCTTAGTAGAGTTCTATTTGCAATTTATTCTAAACTTTATCCATTAATTACAGGCACAATGAGTACAATCATTACTACTAATCACTAAAATAAACAGGTGAAGCACTCAAATGTATAAACCTTTTATTTAAAATTAGAAAGACTCAAATACAAATTAAATAAGTACAATACATAATAGTAAGCCTTCATAAAACAGATCATAATCACTTTAAATCATTTACTAGTTCTACAACAAAATTAAAGAAAAATTTAAATACAGTCCAAAATGAAATTATTTTTAAACTCTTGTCAACATTAAAATTATTACAAAAGAGTCAAAGAGCTTTAATTAGAAAATGAACAATGCCAGGTGCAGTGGCTCATGCCTGTAATCCCAGCACTTTGGGAGGCCAAGGCGGGTGGATCATGAGGTTAAGAGATCGAGACCATCCTGGCCAACATGGTAAAACCCTGTGTCTACTAAAAAAAACAAAAATTAGCTGGGCATGGTGGCACACGCCTGTAATCCCAGCTACTCGGGAGGCTGAGGCAGGAGAATCGCCTGAACCCACGGGGCAGGGGTTGCAATGAGTGGAGATTGTACCACTGCACTCCAGCCTGGCGACAGAATGAGACTCCATCTCAAAAAAAAGAAAAAGAAAAAAGAAAATGAACAAAACTACTACAGGATTATTCCTGCTATCCACTAAAATAAATAACAATTACAATTCAGTGAGATTTCCATTCATCCACAGATAAAAAACACCTCATTTTAAAAAGACAATTATCTGTTTCTTTCCAAGGCTATGAGGACTGATTTATTTGACTTTTAACTTTAATGTGGCACAAGCTTGATCAGTAAAAGCAATGCCATTAAAAATGTTTAGAATGTTCCTTACAGATCCTTTCTGCTTCACTTCAGGAATAAGCTATCATATATTTAACATTTAAAACATTATATAATGACACAATAAATATCTTTTAAAGGTATGTGGCAAAATAAAAATATACTCTAGTTCAAGTTGGTGTTTGGAAAAAAATAAAGATATGCATTCAACAATGAAGTTTCAGTCGGGCACAGTGGCTCACACCTGTAATCTCAGCACTTTGGGAGGCCAAAGCAGGTGGATCACTTGACATCAGGAGTTCGAGACCAGCCTGGACAACAGGGTGAAACCCCATCTCTATTTAAAATACAAAAAAATTAGCCGGGCGTTATGGTGTACACCTGTAATCCCAGCTACTGGGAAAGCTGAGGCAGGAAAATAGTTTGTACCAGGGAGGTGGAGGTTGCAATGAGCCAAGATCACACCATTGCACTCCAGCCTGGGTGACAAGAGTGAAATGCCATCTCAAAAAAAATAAAAATAAAAAGTCTCTTCTTTCCTTTACGATGGGAAAATGATCATATTCATTCTATTTTTAATTTTTACTGTCTTAATTCTCCAGAAAAAAAAGTTTTATGTTTTTATTATCATTGCTATATATCCAATTCTAAGACTTTGCACACATACAAAAAATACCAAGGGATATAGTCTAATATATTAAACCTGTATTTTGCTGAAATTATTGGTAAAAAGTAGAACTAGACTTGTCTTAAGTAGATAACAGGAAAACACACTATTATGGTGTTTGTATACAAAAAATAATCCAAAACAAATAAAAACATACACTCAAGATGGCACCCACATTATTCAAGAATAAAGTTATTTACATATATACTAACAATTATATGACTAAATAAATGATCATTTTCCTAAAACATGCATATTGTCAAGCCTTTTATAATTAAACTTATAAAGCCAACTTGCATATTATCAACTGTCATGATTAGAGCTTTCTGCACACCAAGAGAGTTAAAATTTTAACATCTATTGTTCTATAAAACTAAAGATAAAATGTAATCAAACTCACCAGTTCTCTATAAAATTTTATATATCTCAGCAACCTGTCATACTGTCTGTCATCAAATAAATTAACTCCAAAATGTAGTTATTCTTTACAGAATTTTTGTTTTTTTACAGAGGGGGGTCTTGCTATGCTGTCCAGGCTGGTCTTGAACTCCTGGCCTCAAGTGATCCACCGGCCTTGGCCTCCAAAAGCACTGGAATTACAGTCATCAACCACCACACCCAATATCTTTTCTAAAACTTTAATTTCCACTCTATTGCTCTTTTGAAACCATTTTAATAAGTCACAGTTCTTGAAGAAAATTCACTGAGGGGAAGGAATTATTTTCTACAAGCAACTCTATGAGTGATAGAGTTGTAGCTCTGTTATAAGTCTTTTTCCTCTTTCAAAGAGAATGAAAAATATGCAGAGATTTCCTTACTGACTAAAAGTAAAGGTTAAGAGGACATAATAATATTTTGGATATAGGAGCATATAGGTTTTCACAGTTTATTGACTACTAACTAGCTATGACCTTAGACAAGTCATTTAACATGCTGTGCTTCAGTTTCATCTTTGAAACAAAGAGATTCAAACACAAATATCTTAAGCTTCCTTCCAACTCTCACATAGTATGACTCTGTGCTTCCGCAGGAATTCTTAACTGATAAACTGAATCTTGCATGAATCAAGAGAACTGATGTTTACTAAAACAGCACAGCTAAACTAAGCCTTTCCTTGTCAGAAAAAAACACAACGACCATGTTCAAAGCTCAACTTCCCAAACCTTACCAGACCCATTCCCTCTTCAGCCAGACCAAAGAATAGCCCATAGAGTTGAAACCAAATATCTTAATTATATAAATCACTTCAAAAGTATAATGTAAACCCATTAAATGTACTAATTCTATGCCAGTTTTCTAATTCACATTATTTTCATTTTATCTACATTCAAGATAATATGTACAGCTAAGGAAGGGTCTATTTAATATTCTTACACTTCTAAACACTAGTAAAAGTTAAATACAAAGAACAGAATATTAATAATTATCATATTCTGCCAAATTTTTAATAAAAGCATGCTAAGTACTATTTATGGGTTAGAGAAACAAGGCAAAGGCAAAAAAGCAAATCCTGCTGACAAATGCTGATGATCAAATGAATTTAGTTGTGTTTTGCAATTACTTTAAAAAGACAGGAAGGAGAGGATGTTAGCAGAAACCTAGTTAGGCAACACTGAATCATGACAGTCCAGCCGCTTTTATGAAAAACAAATCTATAAAGTAGTATTTTTACTAGTGCAGTGCAAATTGGTTTTTCTTTGTCTAACAATGGACAGCAAGTGAGGCACTTAACTGTAAAATAGAAAAATAGGGTATTTTTAAGAAGACATCCAAAATCATTCAGAAAAGATAATTAGCACTATTGAAAAAGTTAGAAATTCCATTTTTATTTAACATGCATTCAATGTTACACGTTTCACTAAGGAAAATCCTTCTGAAGGTAAGATTACTGTTTTATTTATAATATAAGAAACAGAAAACATTTCCTTTTCAAGGGAATCTGGATTTCTAAGAATAAAATCCAAGTCTTCTCAACCTGAGTGCTACATATTTATAAACAGAGAAAAATACATCTTACCATACAGGAGAAATGTTATGACTATCAACAAATACCATGAGCTGGGAGCAGTGGCTCCTGCTTGTAGTCCCACATACTCGGGAGGCTGAAGCAGGAAAATCACTTGAGCCAGGACTTCGAGGTTAAAGTGAACTATGATCATGGTACTGCACCAACAGAGCCAGACTCCATCTCTTTAAAAACAACAACAAATGCCACGTACCATGTGATCCTCAACTTTATTCTTGAAGGATCAGATGTTTTTATTTTACGTAACTTCAAAGAAGGGCACCGAATGACCACAACAGAATAATTAATAGATATTTAGCACCTAAATTTAGAGATGACTTGTGTATTGCCATAGTTTTAAATACTTGTATGTCTATAAGTTGGGGGAAACCAAATACATGTTGTTCAATGACATTATTCTTAATTACAAATGCATCTACCTACAATATTCAAACACAATCTTATTTCTCCCTGAAGTTGCAGACATATATATCTTTTTAACAAGTAAAGTGAGGTTTATTATTTCTTAAGCATCATTAAATTGTCTTCTGAATGTGGCACTTTTTCAGATTAGACAAAAAGCAGTTCCTAAAAAGTCATTCATATTCGACCACTCGTATTATTTTAAATGTTCTTCACTATGGGACAGAGGTCAAAACTGAAGTGAATAGTCGTGGACCTTCTGCTGAAATACATTAGTAAATATAAGCAGGAACAGAGGAGATGAACATACATTAATTTCTGACAATATATTGGCACATAAATGCTTATCTATAGGGTGAAAAAGCACTTAATGAAAGGATACATATTTGCCATGACAGTATTTCAAGTGAATGGAGACTAGTGTTTCCTTTCTTCATATCTAAGTGAAATATCCTTGTGTTACCTAAGTAAGCTTGACTTTAATCTGGGATAGAACACTTTACTTCATATGTTAAAACTGATGGCCAGGCGTGGTGGCTCACACCTGTAATCCCAGAACTTTGCAGGCCAAGGCAGGCAGATCAAGACCATTCTGGCCAATATGGTGAAACCCCATCTCTACTAAAAATACAAAAATTAGCTGGGCATGGTGGCGCACACCTGTAGTCCCAGCTACATGAAAGGCTGAGGCAGGAGACTCGCTTGAACCCAGCAGGCAGAGGTTGCAGTGAGCTGAGATCATGCCACTGCACTTCAGTCTGGTGACAGAGCGAGATTCCGTTTCAAAAACAAACAAACAAAAAAACTGATGCATGACATTAACTGAAGTTTTCCATGAGACAATTTAATCATCCCCACTGAGAAATCCTATAATCCTACCTTTTCTTCCTTAATTTGCTTATAGAAAGGCTTTCCTTGGCTCAGAAAGGATGAAAAAAGGATTTAAAAAAACATTTTTACACCAAGGAGATTGGCAAATTTCAATAGTTCGCAATCCTCACATTTCCAGTTTATATTTACGTTATCAAATTTCATTCCTTACTATTTAATTAATTTTCTCAGATACAGAAGGGTGAAAATTCATATATTTAAGGTAATTTTTTCTATTTTCTTTAATATATTCTAACTTATTTTTGAAAGTACATGGGTACATGAAAGAAACAGGAATATTGCTGATGCAATTTAGTGAAGAAATAAAGTGCATATAGCTTTCAATATAAATAGTTTGGTACATTACAGCTAAGTAAAAAGCTGCATGTACAAAATCAAAATGAAAACTCAGCTCAATACCTAGAATCTGAAAAATATGAGACATGAATACAAATCCTATATAAATAGTAACAAAATTAGCGTTAGGGAGTACTCCCCTCCAAAAAAAAAAAAAAAAGGCAACTGAAAGTATTTTTAAGAAAAGTTAAGTGGATATCTGCTTCCCAAAAGACCATGACACTCTACACAGTAATACCAACATGCAATACCTGAAACGTAGAATCACATTCTGACTGCTGCCCTTGCACTTCTGCATTTAATTTAGGATTCTCTTGTGTCTGGCTAATTTCACCTTGCGAAGTAGGAGGAATGCCATGACTCTCATCTACAGAAGCACCATCACACAAGGTACCTAACTGTACTGGGAAACAAGCAATGTCAAGTTTACTATCTCCTGTCTCTTTATCAAAATTGGTCCTTTCATCAGCATCTTCTAGCTGTTGAACTGAAGTTAAATATTGTTCAAGCAGACTATTGTCCTGCTCATTATTTGAGCTTTCCTTATTCCATTCACCATGTTCTTCACTAACATCCCCTAAATCTGATTCTTTGCCATATCTAACTGTGTCAATGGAATTCCCCATTATGGAGCTTTCACTGCCTTCTGTGGAACTTTTTTCAAAATCCAAAGAATCCTGCAAAGAGTAAACTTGTTCTGCTAGAGAGGAATGAAAACCAGAGTCTGGAAAATCTGGTAATGATTTCTCTTGAGGAGCTACATCAGAAGCAGTGAACCAATCAGCATTTTGATCAGAAGAGGACTCCTGGCTTTGGGTAAATAATGGAGGTTTAGATGGCACAAGAGTACTTGATATAGGAGGAACATCAATATGGCAGGAACTTAGACGCTGGTCCATTGTCTGTTGCCAAACCTGTAGAGACCTTACCTATAAACCAGAAAATACAGTCATGTTATAAAACAAAAAGTGTCTGGGTTTGTTTGTTTTTGAGACAGGGTCTCACTCTGTCACCCAGGCTGGAGTGCAGCGGCATGATCATGGCTCATTGCAGTCTCAACCTCCTGGGCTCAAATGATCCTCCCACCTCTGCCTCCTAAGTAGCTGGGACTCCAGGTGCCTATTACCATGTCTGGCTAATTTTTAAAATTTTTTTGTAGAGATGGGGGTCTCACTTTGCTGCCCAGGATGGTCTTGAACTCCTGGGCTCAAACAATCCTCCAGCCTCAGCCTCCCAAGTGCTGGGATTACAAGCATAAGCCACCACACCCCTCCTGTCTATTTTACAATTTTCCTTCAAGATCTTTTTGTCCAGTAGTCACGAAGTTGGCAAACGATAGAACTGGAACTAGAAACTGCTGACTCCCTTTATCTTTTCCATAGCACCCCAAGCCTAAACCACACTGGCACAAATAGAACATGTTCCTGGTAACAAAAGGCCCTCACCCAAAGTAGGGATGGGTGAAAGCAATTCTCTTGCTTCTACCAGAAAAACAGCCAGAAGCATAATAGTACATGTCTAGCTAAGGGGTTAATCATGTATTCAATACATAATGAGATCTATTCAGTAAGACAAATTAGAGCCCTCGATAGAAGTAGATCCTGTAAAATAAGTCTCACTTTAGATACCCAGGTAGAGATTAGAGTTTTAAAATATTATCTAATAATACAGTATATGCAACTTGCTAAAATACCTAAAAATATATCAAATTCTTGATAATATGACCTCTTCATTTCTAAAGTATAACAAAAATTCCAAAATTTTACTGTAAAAACTGCAGACAAGAAAGCAATATGTACAGTTTTTAGTTTCCTTTTGACCCCCCTCCAAGTTAATTACTGACAGCAACTTGATGCATACCCTTCCAGACTCTTTTCTAGGCAGTATTTTCAAATACACAGGGAAGCTGGACAAACTGGTGTGCGTCTGTAGTCCCAGCTACTCAGGAGGCTGCAGCAGAAGGATCACTTGAGGAGTTCAAGGCTGTGGTGTGCTACTGCTGTTTTTTCACTAACCAGTATTATTTTGGAGATTTTTCCATGTCGGTCCATACTATTGCCTTATTCTTTTTAACTGTTCCATGGTATTCCACAGTATTATCATTCTATAACTCAACCATTCTTCTATTTTTGGTAACTACAAAACCTTACAAATCAACAATTATTTTTTCATTTTATAGGTCAAATCCTATTATAACAAATTTGGCCAGGTGATATGGCTCACTTTGGGAAGCTGAGGAGGGAAGGCTGCTTGAGCCCAGGAGTTTGAGACCAACCTGGGCAATACAGCAAGACCCTATTTCTATAAAAAAGAAATGAAAATTTTATTAAAATATTCCCAAGAAATTATCATCAATAAGTATTTGATATGATACAACGCTAGTAAAAGTAATTGCCTAAATTGTCCCTAAAGTATGGTGTTACAGGATTCAAAGACTCTCCGGTACAGTTATGTATACTTTTTAGGATATGCATATTGTAGCCATATACCATCTTAATCACCTTTCATTCAAATATTCCCAAAAGATAGATAGATAGCTGCATAAAACTTCAATTTGGGGTTGTTGTATATATTGGAAAGCTGTAACAGCCTTCAATTAAGCCACTTTCCTCCTGCTTTATATTATTTTGTCTTTCTTGTCAAAATTGTCAGAATATTTTTCTTCAGATTAAATAAAATGCAACAAAATTCATTGTCCTGGCCTGGTGCGGTGGCTCACGCCTGTAACCCCAGCACTTTGGGAGGCCAAGGTGGGTGGATCACTTGAGGTCAGGAGTTCAAGACCAGCCTGAACAACATGGAGAAGCCCCATCTCCACTAAAAATACAAAATTAGCTGGGCGTGGGGGTGCAGGCCTGTAATCCCAGCTACTCAGGAGGCTGAGGCAGGAGAATCGCTTGAACCCAGGAGGCAGAGGTTATGGTGAGGTGAGACTGTGCCATAGCACTCTAGCCAGGGCAACAAGGGCAAAACTCTGTCTCAAAAAAAAAAAAAAAAAAAAAATTCACTATCCTAGTTTAGAGTTAGTGGCAAAGGACACAAACCATACCCTTAACCTTGAACAAGAGTGCTTAATACACCTGAGTACTCTATGATTATCTCAATGAATATGGAATTTTTATTTGATCATATATGAGGTAAATCAGGAGGAGGGTGTTTACCTGATTCCAAAGAAATCTGAAAGCTTCTTCTTGTACAAATTTTTTAACACGTTCTTCATCTCTTTCTTTTCGTAACCTACAATAATTCAAAACACATTATTGACGTAAGGAAGAGTGCTTTGACTCGTACTTCCTGTTACAACTAATAAACGCATGCATTGTAAAGAGATTAATAATCTAAGTTATCTTTACCACTGTTACAATATCTAACTTAAAACCTTATTTTATTTTTATTTTTTTTAACTTCAGAATCAAAATGGAACAGTTTTTATAAGTGGCATCACAAAACTTAATTTTGAACTGTGACTCAAAGTAGAAGCCAAATGAGATATGACTGAAATTCAGGTATTAGTTCTACAAATTATTTCCAGTAATAAGAAATAAAATGTTAAAATGCTTTTTGTCTGGCTTCAATTTCTCAGCCAAACATACCAAAGGAACAGAAAGTACAAAAAGGAATGGTTACCCAAAGCATCCAAAACGATGAAGGGTCACACTTAAGTACTCATGATCACAGCCTGAAACACTCTCTCCTAAAGACTAATCCCATCAAACTTCGCTTTTCTGTGTGTGCAGGTCTCTGATCTACTGCTTGTTGACAAGAGACCTCCCATCCATTATTCCTCATTCATTAAAGTCTTAGCTCTGGGCTCACTGCTGTTCTCTCCATACTTAGGGTTTTCACAAACCTAAGGCTCCTCCTTTAGTGATCCATTATCACCCACACTGTCAACAGCATTTTGTTTCACACCTCTGACCCAATTACCCACTTTCTATAGCCCCTCAAGCCTTTCTCCTATGCCATCTAGAGCTCTTGAATTATAATCCGCAAACCCGCTTACATACTTCACCTCTCTCTAAACTTTTCCTTGTCCAAAGCAGATCCACTTCTGAGAGCACTATAGCCCTCTAAGTGGAAGCTATTTTTCCCTCACACTCATCAGGGTTGGAAGATTGCTTCTCACTGCAGTTTTCAAATGATTCTTCATCTCCCTCCTTTAACTCCTGCCATCCTGCAATTTCCCAAAATTCTTTGTCAAGTACTGACCTCTCGCCCTCCGCTCCCGTTCACTGAAGTCTCAGCACCAGGCTTTCTCTTTGCCCCACTCCTGTCATCATTTTTGGAGACTTCAACATTCACATGGATGCTCTAACAATAATCCACCCAATGTCAGTCACCCATTGTCATAGTCTCAGTCTAGGCCAAACCATTTGACAGCACCACTATCAGAAGTGGTTCTAAACACCCAACACCAACCACTACTTCCTATCCTCCCAGTTCACTTGCTGTTGTACCCCAATGCAACAGTCTAGACCTCCAGTCTAATGATCCTTCCCTCCTGCCTTCACTTCCCTCTTACAGCATTTAAAATTCCACCCAGGCCAGGCACAGTGGCTCACACCTGCAATCCCAGCAGTTTGGGAGGCCGAGGTGGGCGGATCACCTGAGGTCAGGAGTTTGACAGCAGCCTGGCCTACACGGTGAAACCTCATCTCTACTAAAAACCCAAAATAAAAATTAGCCAGGCGTGGTGCCAGGTGCCTATAATCCCAGTTACTTGGGAGGCTGAGGCAGGAGAATCACTTGAATCTGGGAGGCAGAGGTTGCAATGAGCTGAGATAGCGCCATTGCACTCCAGCCTGGGTAACAAGAGCGAGACTCCATCTCAAAAAAATTTTGGAAAAAATAAAAATAAGTAAAATTTCAGCCAGCAAAGCGACTCACACCTGTAATCCCAGAACTTTCGGAGGCTGAGGCAAGAGCATTGCTTTTGCCCAGGAGTTCAAGAATAGCCTGGGCAACCTAGACTTCATCTCTAAAAGAAAAGAATTTTTTAATTAGCTAGGCATGGTGGTACATGCACACAGTCCCAGCTACTTGGGAGCCTGAAGTGAGAGAATCACTTGAACCCAAAAATTCAAGGTTACAGTGAGCTATGAGCATGCCACTACACTCCTGCCTCAGTAACAGAGTAAGACCCTGTCTCAAAAAAATATAAAATCTAAGATCTATCATTATTACTCCCTCTGAAATATCTTTAGCTCTCTTGCCCTTCCCTCACTCTCTCCACAATATCACCTAGGAAAAAAAAATAATCTCTGGCTTAACCAAATGAACCATGCCTGCATCAGAAGAGAATAGCTAAGAATTGCTGATGAAAATCATACAACCTGATCTATTGCTTTGCACTTTTAAGTGTTTTCTCACATTATCCAGCAACCTTCCTCCATTTTCCTCAGAAGGTCATCTTTAAGATGACCACCTCACACCTCATACTTCTCTCCTTACACCTCCTTCACTCCTCTTCTACTTATTTGCAGGTTTTGACCACATCTTACACATTATTGAAAAAGACGCAGCATCAGACAGGACTTTTTCCCATCTCCACCATCAAGCCTACTACCTTACCTGCTCCTGCTCCTATCTCAGGCCACTTCCTCTGCTTCGATGCTGCATTTCTTCTCCTCTTCCCTTCTCAAGAACTGCAATCCTGCTCTTCCTCTCCTTTCTTTTTTTTTTTTTTTTGTCACACCATCAGTGTTTCCCTCCTTATATTATTTATTCCATTAACACATGAACACATTCTATATCTCATCCCTAAAAAAGGATATTTCTTCACTCTAGATTCTCCTCCAGGAACCACTGACTCTCTTCTCCACAAAACAACTCTTTCCAAGAATTGGCCAGACTCATCCTTCAAACTCTTTACCTCTAATTCACTATTCAACCCATCTCAAAATGGCCTTCATCCCTCTACACCACTGAAGCTGCTCTTGGGAAGGTCCTTGTGCAGTAAAGGGTTAACTCAGCAGGAGTGGGATGTTCTTTTTTTTGTTGTTGTTGAGACAGCGTCTCACTCTGTTGCCCAAGATGGAGTGCAGTGACACGATCTCGGCTCACTGCAACCTCCACCTCCCAGGTTCAAGTGATCCTCCTGCCTCAGCCCCCTGATAGCTGGGATTACAGGCACTTGCAACCATGCCTGGCTAATTTTTTTGTATTTTTAGTAGAGGTGGGGTTTCACCATGTAGATCAGGCTGGTCTCGAACTCATGACCTCAGGTGATCCAGCCAGTGGCCTCCCAAAGTGCTGTGATTACAGGCATGAGCTACCGTGCCCAGTCGCAGGATGGGGATGTTCAATGCTGTACATTGCAAATTCTATGTTTAGAATTACAGATCCCTATAAAGTTCACGTTCATTGAACATTTATTGCTACATTGCATCTATGTATCAAGTGCTTTGCTGGGGATGGAGATGGAGCAGATAGAGCCAACAGTCTCTGTAGGAGACAAGCAAACCAACAGTGGCTACATGCTGTGAAAAGTGTTATAATTACAGCAGCACAGTGTTCTCAATCATCTGTAAGAGTCTGACAGCCCCAAACCAACAAAACAGTGCATCAACAGCACTTCTGACCCACCTCCTTATTTCATCAGTTAAGCAGACAATGTGCTCCTGCATTCTGCGCAGCCGGATTTCATAACGCACATCTTTGGCTTGAGGGTTGTAGTTCCTGGCATAAAAGCCCCGCCAACAGGCCTGAAGCTTGGTGGCTGCATCATTTAATTTCTGAAGAGCAACTTTATCTTGTCCCAAAGCAGCAGATCTCTGGGTTAAAACCATGCAAGGAAGTTTCTCCGAAGTTGCTTTAGATATGGTTTCTTTATTTTCTGGTTGTATATGGGAGACGCTGTGTCCAGCTGACTCAGGAAAAAATGTAAGACTGTTGTTATCATCCTTCAAGACAGAGCTGATTATTGTTGGCTCAGGACAAGGAGAAAGCCCAACTGTCTCATTTACCTCTGTACTGATCTCACTTTTCATCATTTGAACCATATTCTCATTTGCAGCACATAAAGGCTTTTCTTCTTCCTTATCCAATACCTGGCTTTCCAGCCCTTTCACAGAGTCATCTGCAACACCATCATCTTCTAGGCCCAAGTTAATGCCTTGCAACCTCAGCTCAACTGTAGGTGATACTGGAGATAGTCCTGATGCAACTGGCATAAAAGTAGACTCTGAAGAGAGAAGACTACAATTTAACTTGTCCTCATCTGTCTGTATGTCTTCCAGGTGCAGCTCATTTCGAGAATATCTTGTAGTGTGTACAGAGGCTGGAAAATTATTCTTAATCGCAAATAACTGATCATCATTACTGCTTATCCCAACCCAAGAATTGACTTGAATGACGGGTTCTAGAAGAATCAACAGAGTGTCATTTAAACCACTAAATATTTACATTTTAGTTATGTCCTTTTAATGAAATCTAATCCTTGAAATAGGGTAGAATGCAATAAAATGCCCTCAGTGATTTCTTCCAATATGCCTAAAACATCAAACCAAACCTTTTTAAGAAAATGAATTCTTGTGATAATCATAAGAATAATCAAAGCATTAGGTCTACACAAATGGTAGCAGTCCTTGAAATGTTTCTTAAAATTAGAAATATAGTAATTATAATATACATACTTATATGTAAGATCTAAATTATTACTAAAGTTAGCAAACTAACAAAAAATTATGAAAATATGCACCTTTTTCTGCTTCATGATACCCAACAAATTAAATGACTTGGAGAAAAGGGATCAGAGAGAAATTAATTTCTTACCACTTTCCTGGGATATCTGGCAATCCTGAACAGGGCTTGAATGCTCAGGAATAAGGGATGCCCTGGTTTCAACAGGAACAAGAGGAGACAATTCTTCATTTTGGCTTTGGTTCATCAATTGCCTCTGGTGAAACCTAAAAATCAATAACATCTGGTCTGATTTAACACAAACCAAAAAAAGATTTTCTGCTTCCTAGGTAACAATGTCAAAAAGGTAGAATTTTACAAGTTCTCAAAGTAGGCACTTTTAATCACTGTCAAATTCAAAGCGTCATTTGAAAGAACTGGATAAAGAAGGTTAAGAAAACTTATTTTTTTAATTGCCAAGGTAGACATCCTCCTATGCACACATACAAACATACAAAAACATTTAAAGGCAGGATCTCTGATAAAGTAAATATTAAATGCTTCTGGCAATGCTTTTTCTCTTTTTTTCACTGTACCTTTTAAAGGCAGACATACCTCATAATGTACGTATTCAGAAATCCACAAGAAACACCCACATTAAAGAACAAATAAGTTGGGCACGGTGGTGCACACCTGTAATCCCAGCACTTTGGGAGGCCAAGGCACACGGATCGCTGGAGCTCTGGAGTTTGAGAACAGCCTGGGCAACATGATGAAACCCCATCTCTAAATATCATAAAACATTAGCCAGAGCGTGCTGGTGCGTGCCTATAGTCCCAGCTACTTGGGGGTCTGAAGTACAAGGATCTTTTGAGCCCAGGAGACTGAGGATGCAGTGAGCTGAGATCACACACTGTGCTCCAGCCTGGATGACAAAGTGAGCCCAAACGCAATGGCTCATGCCTGTAATCCCAGCACTTTGGGAGGCCAAAGCAGGCAGATCCCCTGAGATTAGGAGTTCAAGACCAGCCTGGCTAACATGGCGAAATCCCATCTCTACTAAAAATACAAAAATTAGTTGGGCGTGATGGCACACGCCTGTAATCCCAGCTACTCGGGAGGCTGAGACGTGAGAATCGCTTGAACCGGGAGATGAAGGTTGCAGTGAGCCAAAATCACACCACAGCACTGCAGTCTGGTGACTGAGACTCTGTCTCAATTAAAAAAAAAAAAAAAAAAAAGAACAAATACATTTTTTAAGAATCCCATCCCATTTCCTGGCCAGATATAGTAGCTCACACACATAATCCTAGCACTTTAGGAGGCCAAGGCAGGAGAATTGCTTGAAGCCAAGAACTTAAGATCAGCCTGAGGAACAAGGTGAGACCCCATCTCTACAAAAAATTAGCCAAGCATGGTGGCATACACCTGTAGTTTCAGCTGCAGTGAGTTATAATTGTATAGCTGTACTCATAGACCAAGAGACCAAGACCCTGTCTTTAAAACAAAAAACAAACAAACAAAAAACTCTCCATTCCCCCATGCCATATTGTTTGGCTGTCTGCAGTACACGGTTCAGCTTCCCTGCAGGAATTGCTACAGTGACAAGGGGACTGATTCTCCAGAAATATGGCCTGTAGCACTTGCCTCAGGCCTCCTAACACCATAGCAGAGACTCAGAGGTATTTTAACTTGTGAATTCATCAGCTGTTAGAAATAAATGGGCTTACCTCTGTTTGCTCAAAATCTTCTCTAGTTTGGCATCCTCTGCAGTTTGAAGACCTAGTGTGGAAGTGAGGGGGCAGACTGTAGCCAGATACTGGACAAGCTGGACGTGTTGGCCAGGCCGATATGCTCTCCCCTTGCCTTGACTATAGAGCCATTCAGCTTTCAAGCTGGAATTGAGGAACATAAAGAAGAGGAGATGGCACAAGTCGAGTCAACACATACTGTCAGGCAATAATGATCTTCCTTCTTAACTTACCTTTATAGCACCACTGGATGCTTTTAATAAATAAAATTCACTCAAGTTTTTTTTTTTTTTAATCAATCATTCTGACTCATATTCCTCATTCTAATGTTTCAAACCCTTTTTCTTGCTTAGGGGCACTTCCATAGAGCTTCCACTAATGGTGCCAAATATTTTTAAATCATTTTCAAGAAAGCAATGAGTATTCTCTTCATTCGCTCTGTCAAACTGAAATGCTTAAATAGATCAACTGCATTTAAATCCATTAGTTCATAATGACAGTTAAAAAAAAAAAAAAGTAGCCAGGCATGGTGGCATGTGCCTGTAATCTCAGCTACTCATGGTGGCTCACACCTGTACTTTGGGAGGCCAAGGCGGATGGATCACAAGGTCAGGAGATCAAGACCATCCTGGCTAACACAGTGAAACCCTGTCTCTACTAAAGACACAAAAAAACCAGGCGTGGTGGCAGGCGCCTGCGGTCCCAACTGCTCAAGAGGTTGAGGCAGGAGAATCGCTTCAACCCAGGAGGCGGAGGTTGCAGTGAGCCGAGATTGCGCCACTGAACTCCAGCCTGGGTGACAGAGCGAGGCTCCATCTCAAAAAAAAAAAAAAAAAAAAAGGATATTAGCTAGGTACAGTGGCTCACATCTATAATCTCAGCATTTTGGGAGGCTGAGGAGGGAGGATCCAATGAGCCCAGGAGTTCCAGACCTGACTGGGAAACATAGCAAGACCCCATATCCACAAAAAAGTTTTAAAAATTAATCAGGCTAATGTTTTTTGGTGGCATGCACCTGTAGTCCCAGCTACTTGGGAGGCTGAGGCAGAAGAATGGCTTGAGCCTGGGAGGTTGAGGCTGCAGTAAGCTGCGATCATGATATTGCACTCCAGCCTAGACATTAGTGTGATACCCCGTCTCTAAAAACTAAACATAATTTCTAGCACTAGGAATTTCTCCTTAAATAAATAATTTTAAAAAGGAATATTGGGCCCGGCGCAGTGGCTCATGCCTGTAATCCCAGCACTTTGGGAGGCCGAGGCGGGTGGATCACGAGGTCAAGAGATCGAGACCATCCTGGTCAACATGGTGAAACCCCGTCTCTACTAAAAATACAAAAAATTAGCTGGGCATGGTGGCGCGTGCCTGTAATCCCAGCTACTAAGGAGGCTGAGGCAGAAGAATTGCCTGAACCCAGGAGGCGGAGGTTGCGGTGAGCCGAGATCGTGCCATTGCACTCCAGCCTGGGTAACAAGAGCGAAACTCCGTCTCAAAAAAAAAAAAAAAAAAAGGAATATTAACTTTCTCCAAAGTTCTGCTCCCATAAGATCTCTCTCTAAGCAACAGACTTATAGCTTTGGGCAAGGTCCTGTCAACAGTAAAACAGAGTTCTGAACACATTCAGAAAGAATTCCAAACACTGAGGTGCTACACATGCTCAACTCCCCACAGGTATGCTTAACTCTGAGAAACTACCCAGCCAAAGCAACCACAAGGTTTGGTTACTGCTCAAGTTACTCTTGGGTGACACATACACTCAAATCAAGATCCAGCTACCTGACATTATCAAAGAATCTAGGATACATTTGACAACGAAGAATTTTAACTTGGATGTTCTTAGCAAATAACATCCAGGATGAGCAGACTTTAAAACCTGAAAATTCCCTCCTGTCCTTCAGGGCAATTCTCAATGTTGACCAGGAAAATATTTTGATCATTGCTCAGGCCAAACACCGATTTTTAAGGCAATAGCTCTCCCTTAGAATAATGTCTCCTTCCTGAACAGAATGCTTCTGGAGTTGTTTTAAAACATGGGAGCACTGTTGACAGACTACAACTGTGTCAGCATTTCATCTCTAGTACAGCATCAACCATCTAGGTTCCTTAGTTTGAGTATAACTCTATCCATTTTTTTCTTTTTTTTTTTTTTTTTTTTTTTTTTTTTTGGTGACAGAGTTTTGCTCTTGTTGCCCAGGCTGAAGTGCGATGGTGTGATTTTGGCTCACTGCAACCTCCGCCTCCTGGGTTCAAGTGAATCTCCTGCCTCAGCCTTCCAAGTAGCTGGAATTACAGGCATACGCTACCACACCTGGCTAATTTTGTATTTTTAGTAGAGATGGGGTTTATCCATGTTGGTCAGGCTGGTCTCAAACTCTGGACCTCAAGTGATCCACCTGCCTCAGCCTCCCAAAGTGGTAGGATTACAGGCGTGAGCCACTAAAAAAACATGCCCGGCCCTTTTTTTTTTTTTTTTTTTGGAGAACTCTATCCATTCTTGTACAGCCTAACAAGCCATTATGAATAGGGCTGCTATGAACATGCATGCACATGTCTTTTGGTAGATCTAAGTAGCTATTTCTATAAGGCATACACCTGAATTAAAATTGCTGGATAATGGGGTACATATGTATGTTTAGTTTTTCAACGTAGTTGTACCATTTATACTCCCCTAGTTTATGAGCGTTCCAATTGCCCCACATCTTTAGCAACACTTAGTATTATCAGTCTTTTAATTCTGGTTAGTCTAGCCGGGTGCAGTGGCTCAGAAAGATGCTTGTCTCTCCATAGGTGTGCTTAACTCTCAGAAACTACTCAGTGAGGAGGGTAATCCCAGCACTTTGGGTGGCTGAGGTAGAAAGACTGCTCAAGCCCAGTAGGTCAAGACCAGCCCAGGCAAAACAGCAAGACTTTGTCTGTACTAAAAATTTAAAAACCAGCTGGGCACAATGGCATGTGTCTGAGGTTCCAGCTACTTGGAAGGCTGAAGCAGGAAAGTCCCTTCAGCATAGGAGGTGAGATTGCAATGAGCTAGGATCATGCCACTGCACAACAACAGAGCCTGGGCAACAGAGCGACACTCTATCTTAAAAACAACAACAACAAAAAAACGAGAAACAGAGAGAAATCAAAACTACTGGGGAAAGAGAGGACCCACTGAGAACCATCCCAGCAACCCATCCACAGTCAGTCTTCCCTGGACACCATGAACCACATTGTGCAAACCCTCTTCACTCCTGCTAACAGCAGCTACTCTCTAACTATGAGATGCTGAGAGAGAAGCACGAGGTGGCTGTGCTGGGGGCACCCCACAAACCTGCTCCCCGACATCCACATCCACAGTGACACGTCCATGCCCGACCATGTCATCTGGTCCCTGTTCAACACCCTCTTCATAAACTCCTGCTGCCTGGGCTTCATAGCATTCGCCTACTCTGTGAAGTCTAGGGACAGGAAGATAGTTGGTGACCTGGCTGGGGCCCAGGCCTATGCTTCCACTGCCAAGTGCCTGAATGTCTGGGCCCTGATTTGGGGCATCATCATGACCATTCTACTTATCATCATCCCAGCATTGATCTAGCAAATCTACCAACAGATCAGGAGGCAGCATCCAGGCCAGCAGCTCTGCCCATGACCTGTTTCCAATGAACTCCGCCTTCCATTCCTTGCCCTATCCCCAGAGCCAAGTCCTGTAACAGCCCTTTAGCCTCACATTTTTCTAGAATGGCATTCAATAAAGTACAAGTGTTCCTGGATTAAAAAAAAAATTATTATAGTGGAAGCTGGTTGAAGATGCCATAATAGCCAGGAAAAAAAATAATAATCTGAGTTATTAAAAGCTTACCACAATAGTTACTTTTAACGAAGAGGGGAGTTATGACCAGAGGGGGACAAAGGGGACCTCTGGATGTGAATTGTATTTTCTTTTTTCACTTTGTAGCCCAGGCTGGAGTACAGTAGTGCAATTTCATTTCACTGCAATGTCCACCTTCCTGGCTCAAGTAATCCTCCCACCTCAGCCTCCTGAGTAGCTGGGACTACAGGCACACACCACCACACCCAGAAAACTTTTTGTATTTTTTTCTTGTAGCGATGAGGTTCCACTACGTTGCCCAGGCTGGACTTAAACTCCTGGGCTCAAGCAATCCACCCACCTTGGCCTCCCAAACTAATGGGACTACAAGTGTGAGCCACCACGTGCAGTTATGTTCTAGTCTTATTCTCTGTAGTGATTATAAGGATATTTTTTAAAATCATTTTTAAACTATATCTTAAATTATGTGATAGCTCTATAATTTTTTAAAAAGTGTCAAAAAAAATGTTGCCATTGAGTTACCCTCCCACCTCCTCCTTCTTCCCATACTTCTTTTTTTTTTTTTTTTTTTTTTGAGATGGAGTTTCACTCTTGTTNTTGAGATGGAGTTTCACTCTTGTTACCCAGGCTGGAGTGCAATGGCGCGATCTCGGCTCACTGCAACCTCCGCCTCCTGGGTTCAAGCAATTCTCCTGCTTCAGCCTCCCAAGTAGCTGGGACTACAGGCGCGCACCACCACAGCCAGCTAATTTTTGCATTTTAGTAGAGATGGGGTTTCACCATGTTGACCAGGATGGTCTCGATCTCCTCACCTTGTGATCCACCTGCCTCAGCCTCCCAAAGTGCTGGGATTATAGGCGTGAGTCACCGCTCCGGCCCTTTTTTTTTTTTTTAATTATACTTTCAGTTCTGGGATACATGCGCAAAACGTGCAGGCTTGTTACATGGGTATACACTTGCCATGGTGGTTTACTGCACCCATCAACCTGTCATCTACATTAAGTATTTCTCCTAATGCCATCCCTCCCTCCTAATGCTCCCCACCCCCAAACAGGCCCCAGCATATGATGTTCCCCTCTCTGTGTCCAGATGTTCTCATTGTTCAACTCCCACTTATGAGTAAGAACATGAGGTGTTTGGTTTTTTGTTCTGTTACTTTGCTAAGAATGATGGTTTCAAGCCTCATTCATGTCCCTGCAAAGAACATGAACTCATCCTTTTACATGGCTGCATAGTATTCCATGGTGTATATGTGCCATATTTTCTTTATCCAGTCTATCATTGATGGACATTTGGGTTGGTTCCAAGTCTTTGCTATTGTGAACAGTGCTGC